CTAATGTGTTTCTTCACAAGCTAAGGTCAAGAGTAGTTAGCTATGGCCCATTATTGCTTTCTTTTCTGACCAACTCCCTCACCCACCCACAGTTTCTGCAGCCTTGCAGTGACTTGGTCACATTTACGTTCAATGCGCTTTATTAACTAGGTACCTTTTCTATTTTTGTAATGCCTGATTTTATTCTTTTTACTTTTCTTTTCATGGATTGCCCACGTAAGTATACTAAAAATTCTCACATGAACTTCTCTCTAATTTTCCCTGTCCTGTTCCACACTAGTTCCTGAGTAGTTTAGTTTAATACATCAAGATTTGAGCACAAAGTTGCATAAAAAAAAATCAAATTCCTGTGGTTTCTGATACATTTTTAAAGTACTCGTGTGACAACCTTATTCTTACTGTGGAATTATGGTAACAAACTATTGTATGGCATTAAATTTTATTTCATTTCACAGGGCTCATATTTTTTTTGCTAAACTCTAAAGGTCTCAATTCACTGCACAATTTTGACATTAAATCAAGCCATATTTGTTCTGGCCAATATTATCTGCTTTCCAAAAAGGAATTTTAAACGAAACAAGCACACACAACAAAAACCATAACTAGTTCCCATTATTCGATTATGCTACATATACAAAAAAAATAGAAGGGTGTTATTATTTAGCGTAAATTTACCGTGGTCTTTGTAGCGGAGCTCCCTGTACCCCGGCTGGGTACCTCCGCCAGGGATCGCTTCCGAGCTGGAACCGGGGAAAAGCTCAGCACTTCTGCCCCAGTCACCATGGCTTGACTGGGGTCCTCCTGGAGCCTCTCCGTCCTGGAATAGGGTAGGGGACTAGCTCCATCTCCTCCCAGGGACTGGATGACACACAGTCCTGGGAGCTGTAGTCCTTACAAGGACTTTCCAGCTGAATCCTCCACTAGCTGGAACAAGGTGCTGAGCAGTGAATAGCCCTTTCCCCTCCCAGTAACTATACAACACATAGTTCTGCCAGTACAACTAATATTAATGAGCCAAACTCTGCCTTTTATGCACAGACACCAGCATGGGGTCTCCATTGTATTCAACACAACTTCCTCCCAGGAATCTCTGAGCCTGGGAGATAATGGAGTTAAAGACTGGTAAGCTAATTATCTCCCAGGAACAGAGAGCCCAACACAAAACATAAAAACATAAAAGTACCCCAAAACATAATAAAAACATACAGTAACCCCAAATATTATACATGCCCAAATAGCCCTGATCTGAGCACCCAAGTTGTCTAAATAGTACTCAGATCCATGCAGTGTAGGGGAAACACCACAGTGTTAAAATTCTGATGGGCCCTACACGTGGTTCTATTTCCAAAATGGTTCCAGTGTGTTTGGTGCTTTTGCCAGTCAACTTTCGGGAGCTCCTGCCTGGCTCTCAGGAGGCTTTTGTTGCCCTTAGTCTCAGGCACCTTCCCTCAAAAAAGCGCTCTCATGGAGGATTGCAAAGTGACTCTAAGGGCTTTCCAGCATTAGTGGTAGCAGTGGGGAGGGCACCCGGAAGACCCGAGGCAGAAAGTCATACTCTTCAGTAATGGTTTAACTACTTACAATTTGGGGAGACAACAGGGCACATCTAAATCCATAACTACTACAGAAAGATTCAGTGGTTGTGGTACTTAAAGTTTTCTTTTAAAGAAAGACCATTGCTCCTCATGCCCCCAGTGGTCCAATGTGTATATATAATTTTACCTGGAACTCTTATTGTACCGTAGGCTATCAAATAAGCATCATGGACACGTAGTGATTGAGGGCTGACAGAATTATCCCTGGGCGATACTTGTTGTTTTTTCCCGTCTAGCTGTATGCTCTGTTCTAGTCTGTACCATGACCCATAGGGTCACCTTTAGCTCTCTAGCCTCATGTATGGGCTGTCATGACATATCCATATGTTCTAGTGAAGTTGTAAGATACAACTGCTGGAAACCTGTGTATTAACTGGACTGTACAAAGCACATGAGGGAGACAACACTCAAGAACAGGAGATTTCCAAGAAGTGAAAATAAATACAATTCACTGCCTAGAGAGATTGTACAAAATGCAGAACTAATATGCACTATATCCAAAATATATAAAAAACAAACTAAACTATTGATTGTCTGTATGTATCCTGTCTCTATAAAACACACACACTGCCAGGAGCAATACAGTTCTAAACAAGCATGCTTCTAACTTACATACATGTATTTAATGTGCAAAATTAAAGAGTATCCTCCAAAGTGAAACGCAATCATTCCTGCTGCGTTTCGCTAGGTCTCCCCACAATGCAATGCACAGGTCCATCTATTCTATACAAATATGGTTAAAGAAGAAGGGTTCATTAGTTTGCGGGTTGGTCAATAATGAATGAATCTAGGAGATAGGATGCCATTTAGGAAAAAGCCTGATTCAAAAAATTCCTAAAGTTTAGGATTCAGCAGGAATAATTTTAGGAACCATGCCCAATCTGGCTCCTGCACTCTGTCTCAGCATCAGACACAGTCTCTAGTTTTTGCTGAGGAGCCAAATCCATTATAGTTTTAAATGGATAAAGAACAGCATTTTTTTTCAAACATACCTAATCATGTTTTTAAATGTAAAGAACATTTTACTACAAAACTGCCCGATCCAACACACTAGCGTGACACACTAGCAAATACATTTTCTTAACATACACCACTCTTTATTTTAACCTTCACCATATTCAATACCTCCCAAGTGTCTCTATTTAGGAGGGGCAGTACCTATTTTATGGCCTATAAGAATAAAATAAAATTATAAAAGGACACAAATATCAAGATATGTTGAGTTAGAAAAGTTTATTCACTGTTTTGAATCGACGTAGGGTATACAGATGCAGACTATTACCCTGCATGAAGAATTTCAATACATCATTAAAAGAAATGGATTACTATAATACAATTTTAGTATTTTACTAGTTAATGCTATGTAACCAGATCTTCGTATACAAATACAAAAAACATATATCATTCTTAAATATTATGCAACTAGAATGTCATTTAGAAGAAAAATGTATCCCTTTTACACAGACTGAGTGATTACTAATCACATGTCTGGTACTATAAAGATACATTACTGGGAGCTTCATTGCTGTGGAGCTCTGTTACACACTCAGACACACCAAGAACATAATTGTAGTAAATTGAATTGCAAAGCTAAGGTTACGGTGTCAAAGATGTTACTAAAACAGAGCTAGGCAATTTCTCCAAATCAGAAATTCATGCCTTCATTTTTCTATTTAAATGGACACTATAGTCACCAGAGCAACCGCAGCTTAATGTAGGTGTCCTGGTGCATAGTCAGTCCCTGCAGGCTTTTTAATGTAAACACTTCCTTTTTAGACAAATGGTGTTTACACACTTATAGTTTGTATTCCTGACAATATAGTGACACTTAGACTCTTTAATTTTACACGTTAAATACATGTATGCAAGTTAGAAGCATGACTGTTTATAACTGTATTGCTCTGGGCAGTGTGTGTTTTATAGACACAGGATACATGCAAACAATCCATAGTTAAGTTTGTTTTTTATATATTTTGGTCGCTGACCACAATTTAACTTGTTGCTGTAATTTTCACTTTCAAAATAGCAGCCAGTCAGAATATAGATTTGATTTTAAACATATTCCCTATTTTTCCCTATATTTGCCATTACATACTTTTCTAAAAAAAAACATTAGTTATTACTTCAATTCAATACAGATAACATTATACTCCAGGGGTGCCCAAAAGGTAGACCCCTGATGTTTGAAAACTACAACATCCATGATACATTGCCATTTTAAAGGTATTTTAAAGGCATCAAAGCTAACATCTAGGGATCTACCTATTGGGTACCCCTGTTGTACTCTGTCTTGCAGCTGGCATTGCCTAGCAACAGAGGTAACAATCAGACCAAGTGGAGCAATGATGTAAATGATGATGTATCTGGGGTTAATTATCTGTTAGTCCAGCGCTGAGTATACAGTGATTAACAGTTATTCCAGTGATAACCAGATTGGATTAATTTGAAAGATAACCAATCTACAAAATGGAGGAAAACTCCAAAGTATCTGAAACTGAGGAGCACCAGGATGACTTGCCGTAGGTTTATTTAAAATAGTTTTTTTTTTTTATCACTAATGTATCATTTAGTTAGAAGGTAAATCACTAGGTAACTACTTGTATGAAAGTCCAGTTTACATATTTATATAATTTAGCAGGTTAGGATTTCAGGGTGATATTTTGTTAATGTGTTTATCATTTATCAATATCCGATATTTAACTTGTGACCCTGAACATTATAACCTCAACCTTACGGGGTACTATCAGAGCTAGAATAATTATGTTAATATTAATCTGACTCATTAAAATAATTTTTACAATTAATAATTGAAAGTATTCAATGCAGATAAGGATTAGTTTAACAATTATCCAATGTTTAAAATAAACAGTGTACGAGGTCTATTCTGTAAGGTCTGCAATGTTTGCCTATTATAGGAAAATGATTAAAATAATTTACAAAGTGTAGATTTCAGCAGGAATAGTTTTCAGAGCCATTCCCACTGGGTATTAACAGGGTTTGGGGGGAATGAGGCAATTTATAGTTGCAATATTGATTAAAGCAATAATTGCCCATTTATTCCAAAATACATAACTTCTTCCAACAATAGAAGCAGGAGCACGGAATGATTCAATACATATACAATGTGTCTCCATGCACTATGTTATAAAATATGTTTAATTATTAAAGTATCATTGGTCATCAGAATCTTTGGGTGCTTGTAGCTAGTGTCCTATTGTGTTTTACACCCCACCTCCTATAGACTGTAAGCTCGTTTGAGCAGGGTCCTCTTCAACCTATCGTTCCTGTAAGTTTTCTTGTAATTGTCCTATTTATAGTTAAATCCCCCTCTCATAACATTGTAAAGCGCAACGGAATCTGTTGGCGCTATATAAATGGCAATAATAATAATAATAATAGTGGACCATGCTCGAACATTGCACTCTAGCTACAGCTGGTGTTACCGAGCAACAGATTAAACAAACTGATGCAAAGTGTAATTATAATACAAAATATGATGTATCTGGGTTGATTATCTGGTATGTCCAGTGCTGAATAGTCAGTGATTAAACGTTATTCCAGTGATAACCAGATTTGATCCATTTGAAAGAAAGGCAGTATTTAAAATGAAGCAAAACTCTGAATTATGTGAACCTGAGAGGCAACAAAATGATTTGCTGTAGGTTTATATAAAAACATTTTATTTTATATATTATTAATGTAAAGATATTGTTAGAACTTAAATCCCCTTTTAAATAGACACAATGAATCTAAAGAAACAGCTATATGACTGCTCAGGCGTGCATCCAGTTCTATACGTTAAGGTTACTGGGTGATAATTTGTAATGCTGATTTTATTTTCAATGAAAAACTTTGGACTTGTGGGACACTATTAGAGCTTTATTTATTATGTTCAAACTAATGTAATTAACTGAAAACTCCTCTCCAATCAGTTATATCAGTTTGGTAGAAGTTATAAGGTAGTGTTAAAAATAGATTGTAGTTCATTATTTAGGCTACTAATTTCAACACAGCTGGGGTTAAATATTGTCTGTCTTTCAGAACAATTTTTTTTCTAAAAAAAATTCCCAATTTTGATAAACGTGTTCAATGATGCTGAAAGGTAAGAAGGTGAAAGATCAGCTATGAAATGCAAATATTAGGGAATTTGCCTACAAAACCGTAAGGGACTGAGAGTTTATTGAAGTTAAGACATGAAACAAATTAAATGTCTCAAATACCAGATGTTGTACAAATTCAGACAATATGCTCTAAGTACATGTTATTGCATTATTAACTTTCTGATCAAATTGTCAAACAACCATGATTTAGATGGTTTCATATTGTGACTGAAATCTAGCATTGTGTGAAAATGAACCTATTTCCTTTTTTTTCCTGTCAGTAAATTGGAGCAACCTAACATCCTGTGGTCTAAGACCAATGTTTACATAGTGCAGGAATTGTTGGGCAGTGGCGTCTTTGGCAATGTTGTAAAGGGTGTTATAAAAGGAACTAATGAGAAAGTGGCTATCAAAATCTTGAAGGACACCCGATATGCTGCTGAAGATGCTGAAGAAGAGGTGGACATCCTATGCCAGCTGAGTAAGGAGCAACCAGACGATTTCAATCTCGTCAAGCACTTTGACTATTTCCAGCACAACAATAACATCTGCATTGTGTTTGAGATGTTGGACATTAGTCTCTATGACTTTATAAACAAACGCAACTTCAGGCCGTTTCCAGTGAAACACATCCGCCCTATTGTGCAGCAGGTGGGCAGTGCACTGGGAAAGCTGAAAAGTCTGGGAATTATCCACACAGACTTGAAACCAGAAAACATCATGATGGTGGACACGTCCAAGCACCCATTCAAAGTCAAGGTCATAGACTTTGGGTGTGCAATCCATGCATCCAAGGCTCGATGTTCGAGTTACATACAAAGCAGACACTATAGGTAAGGGACATTTATTACTCATAATTCACAATTTCAAATAAAGTACCTATATATCCTTTACATTGATGGCATGAGTATAAAGGCTAATGTCAACTAGGTCTAGTTAATTATTCTGTCCAACGGTTTTTATGAAATATTAGGAGATATTAGTGATATTTATGGCATTTAGCTGAGTGTATCAGTCAGCTAGCTTTACATATTCACACAGGGCTCTTAAGGTGGGCATGGATTGATCAGAATCTACCCAAGTGACATGGCTGCTTGCTAAATTCTTATATGTCCTGAGAGTGATGTAATAAGCTTCTAAAAGCTGTGGAAATTTGTGGAATGTAATGGAAGTTCTACATTCCAAAGCAACATTTAGGCAGTTCTCCTCTATTATTCTCATTTTATAAAAACTGATCATCATTAAAGTACTTGGAAGTGGCTGGAGACGTGGTCTCTCATTATGCTGGGGGAAATGGGAGGTGGGTTTTTCTGGGCGCTCTCTGTCAACTGATATGTGCTTGTGCTGAGTGTTTTGAGAGTGATGGTAAAACACTTCCACTGGTAACTCTCAGGCAGCCAGATGGAGCAGAGGCACGATTAACTTAAAATAAATAGTAATTTTTTCAGCGATTTAAGTCAAAATTAAGTGGTTTAAGCCTATATTAATTTACAGCTTTAAAATGTAATTTTTTAAACTAACATTCTGATTTCTCTGCTTTTTATAAAAATCAGATCCCCAGAAATAATATTGGGATTACCTTTCTGGGAGGCAATTGACATGTGGTCTCTGGGGTGCATCATGGCGGAGCTATTCACAGGACGCATATTATATCCTGGAGCTTCTGAGTATGATCAGGTGAGTTCAAATCTAATAGACACCTGGGTCTAATTATATATTAAGGTCTCAGTCTGGAATCCAGAATGAATTCATGTAGAAAGACATCATGTAGCTGTTTTTTTTGCTTATACAGGCTGGAGTCAAAGTGGAAAGATAAAATGGTCAATTTTGTTTAAACTTAGTGAACACTATTCACCAAACAAAAAAATTGTAGTGAATCAAAGATACAAAATAGAAACATTTAGGCAAAAGTGCTAATTTCAAAGAGTTCTTCAACCTGACTGCTGTCATACCTTTTAACCTGAAATTTTGGGATACGGCTATTAATTCACCACAATCTGGTGTTTATTAAATTCATTTTACTGAGTGCTAGTATGAATTAGAACATTTTTTAAAGCATCCACGTTAGCATACTCAGACAGCCTTTATTTGGTAGTTTAGGTAACTTTCTATAGATGCATTTAGGTGTATAAATAATGTATTTATTAAATCCAAACATTTTCATTCTAAGAAGTAATTGTACTTCAACTTTTAAATTTGATATTTGTATTTTAACTAATTTGTGAACAAAATAAATAAATAGTATCCATGTAGCAAAAAGAAGTCAAATCTTTTTAATAAAAATGTGTGCAGCATTAGAATGTGGAGATTTGTTTACTCTGTTTTTATATAGTTACTATCACTATTTGTGTTTGTAACTTTAAGCAATTTATATATTGATTTCACATTCATTTACTTAATTTCTCAAATATGACTGCAGAAAATGCTAGTTGTTGATCAGTTGTGGAAATGCAGTAAATCAGACAGATTCAAGCTGGTGATTATGGGTTATGGGTGATTATGGGTACGTTTACAGTTTTAATAGAAGCTGACGCTACTTGTATGAAACGTTGTGACCTCTTGCTTCCTCCCTGCAGATCCGCTACATCACCGAGACGCAGGGTTTGCCCCCTGATAACATGCTCGATAGGGGAACAAAGACCGAGCTTTACTTTAGAATCGATGGAGATTGTGAAGATTTATTATGGAGTTTAAAGGTGCAAACTTTTATATCAACCATAACCATATTTATATAAAATAAAATGATATTTAACCCCTTCAGGACATCGGGTTAAGCAAACCCTATGAAATCATGACAGTCCCAGCAGATGATCTGCCATGAACTGGTTAAAGCGACATTTCTGAATTTGTATGTCATTTATTTTATTAAGCCAGAGGAAGTTTCACACACTCACATTCAGTAATTTGGAAGTTTTGATGTGATATAAATAACAGATCCTCCATAAAGAATTTTAGCTACTGTTTCCCCTTTCTTAGTCAGCTCTGCAGCTGTATATAATATATAATAAACATGTACAACCACATGCTAAATAAAAACAAAACTGTTTAGACTCAGGGAAGCTGCTGGGTCAGGTAATGGTAAGACGTGTTTATTGGTTCTAACACTAGCAGGAAACTCACTGAGACACTGTAGAATGCTACACTGAGTGATGTTCCCATTCCGGAACCTAATGGACAATCTTGTTTTTCCTCTTTTTAGAGTAAAATACACTATGAATACGATACTGGTATTAGACCAATGGAAAGACGGAAATATGTCTTCAGTTCCCTTGATGACATGACGAAGGTACAGTATTCCTGAGACACTCACATTTATCCGAAAATAGGTATCACATGGCATCTTCCTCTCACCCATGTGCCAGTCTCTGTGGAACCGCAGAAAAAATGGCTTAAAAATTGTCTGGTTGGCTAAGCACAGATGAGGTGTAGGAGCAATATCTTTGTGCTTAATTTTAGGTGTCAGGAGCAACATTTTGTGGGCAACAAAAATGTATGTGCTTTGTCTGTACGGGAAAACACAAAACATTTTCCACCTCTAGATAAACACATCTTATAACTGTTTTCATCTTTGCTTAAATGCACTTCAGTTTTGTCGTAATGTTTGGATGTTACATTTTCCCTTTTTCAATATTTGTGTAAGTGTAGCTGTTTTTAAAAATATATATTATGAAGGTATAAAAGAAGAATCCTTTTCTTGATTTTTGCGCCCCTGTCTTATCTGCAGATACCTATTTTGTTAAAAGTGTCTTATGATCTGTCTAGAACCCTTACTAGTGTCATCGATGTCATTGTGGCTTTTCACCACTGAGCCCAACAAACACTACAGAAGTAGGGGGTTAGGTAGGGAGTACTGAGAAGCAGTCAGATCACTTATTGTAGTTACTACCATTACCATTAATGTTGGCCCTATGAGCAGTGGTGTATCCTGGTTTTGTGCTGCCCTAGGGAGGACAAAACTCAGGCACCCCCTCCCCCTGCGCCACCCCCACCCAACCCTTCCCCCCGCCCCACCTTCTAAATACACACACACACAAACAGTCAGACACACACACAGTCAGACACACACACACACAGTCAGACACAAACACACACACACACAGTCAGACACACACAGTCAGACACAAACACACACACAGTCAGACACAAACACAGTCAGACACAAACACACACACACAGTCAGATACAAACACACATACACACAGTCAGACACAAACACACACACACACACAGTCAGACACAAACACACACACACAGACAGACACACACAGACACACGCACACACACAAACACACAGTCAGACACAAACACACAGTCAGACACACACACAGTCAGACACAAACACACACACACAGTCAGACACACACACACACACACACACTCACATTAACACTTTTTTTTTTTTATCTAACCCCCCCCCAGCCTCCTTACCTTTGGGAATGCTGGGGGGGTGTTCCTCTCTCTCCCTGGGGGTCCAGTGGCTGCTGGTCGGGCACCCAGCCTCACTCTGCGACGCGCGAGGGAGCTGAGCAGACCGCTCAGAGGAAGAGCTCCCTCGCCAGCTGCCCGCACGCCCGCCCATCACCCAGCGCCGCCCGCCAGCCCAGCATGTCAGTTAGCCGCAAGGCTAACTAGGCATTTGCCCTGGGCATTTGGGGGGCGGCGTTTTTTTGCCGCCCCCTGAAAAATGCTGCGCAAGGCAAATACCTTGTTTGCCTCGCGGCTAATACCTCCCTGCCTATGAGACCGAAAACAAATGATGACTTTGCATAATTTTTTAATTAATAATTACCTTACTAAAAATATCATCTTATTATACACAGTTTCTTTCTCCTCAGGTAATTATACCATCAAAACTAGAGAGCAGTGACACTCTGGTGGAGATGGGAGACATTTGGCAGTTTATTGATCTGATAAAGGAGATGCTTGCTATGGATCCATGCAAGAGAATAACTCCCATCGACCTTCTCAGCCATCCCTTCATCACCATGGCTCATCTCCAACACTTCACACGGAGTTCATAGTACGTGATTTTCCTTGTGCACTGGGAACGTTGCTTGGAAATGGTGGGAAATCAATGTGGGAGCAGAAGTATCACTCACATTCATAAATAAAATAGGAAGTTAAATATGTCTACTAGAATATATAGAATGATATAAATTGTATGAGTTACTTCCAGCTTTTTGCTGCCGTTTTGTGTTCTATGGTGGTACAGAGTATAAAGGAACTGGCACCCCCCATTATAAGTAGTCAAACGGCTCCCCACCTCCTCTCTGAAGCCATGAGATTTAAAGGTTTAGCTCAGAGAGAGAGAGAGAGCTTCCTGCTCTGTGAAGGACATAGTGGAGGCAGGAACCCAGGTAAGAAGTCAAACTGTCCTAAAAAGGTTTGATTACTTACATTGTGGGGAGTCAGGGCAATCCTAGCACAATGACCTGATTGGTTAAGGTGCTTGGGATGTTCCTATAAAGAATATTGTGAGAGTATTTTAACTTTAAACAGGAGCTAAAATTATGTATTCTTCAGTTCTGGTAAGGAAAGTTTTATTCAACGATTCTTTATTTGTGTATTCTTCCTCGTATCATTCCATGTTTGTTCCATTTATTTATTACTGTTTTGTCTTTTACTTATCATTTGATCCCATTATTCTTTCATAGCTTTTTACTCTTTCATTTCTTCAAAATGTTTATCATTTCCTTTTTTCTGTGACATTCTTCCTTTTTATACCATTTTATCTCACCGTCTTTGTCTCTCTTTTCCCAGTGTAAGTCCTTGCTTCCAGGCCATGGAGATAATCAAAGAACAGGTGAGTATAGTGAGAGTGCTCCTTGTGATCCCCTAAAAACCAGTGGGATCTGTTAGGGGTGTCCAGTAGACAGTAATGTGCAGCTGAGGATGTAATGTTTCCTCCAGCTTGTGGGATGGGGATCACTATTCATAACTGTAATTATTACATGATCACAAACAAAAAACTGATAACGGTATGATATTCTATTTTACTGAACAAACTCTTAGTATTTATGAAAAAAATAGCAATTTAATTTGTGTTAACACAGAGCAGCAAATTCCCAGATTTATTTTCCCTCTTTATACTATAATACAGCAGGAGGTGTGTCCCGAGTCTCCAGAAATGGAGACAGAGTCGCAGAATGAAGAGAACAAGAAGGAACAGCTGATTGAAGAAGATTCTGAGAAGAAAGAAGAGAAATTAAAGAATCATTACGAGAGACTTCTGAAACTTGTGAGTGCTCCCAGGGGTGTAACTGGCAACCACTGGGACCTGGTGCAAGAATCAAAGAATCTCAGTCCCCCTGAGCAATAAATCTGAGTGGGATGATAGGATGAGTCTGACTGCGTGTGGAGTTGGATGATTGTTGTAACCGTAAAGGGATACCCTGGGCCCATTAACAACTTAATCAATTAAAGTTGTTATGGTGCCAGGAAGTCCTATGTGCCTTCCTACCTCAAAGAGTTAAACTGTCTATGATTGGTTTAACCCTCTCTACTCTACCCAGCCCTCTCCACTGATTCTGCATTCAATCAGGAAACCACAGACTTGGTAGCCCTGACTAATTCCCAATTTATGAAACTGAGTGTAAAAGGTACTTTTTATGAATGAGTTGTGTTTAGGATCAGGGTGCTGTGAATTCGGTGGTGTACCAGTGTGACATGCCCATAAATCTCAATGTATGGTATATCTCAAAAGAGTGCCAATGTGTTTATGGTAACGCTGGGGTGTGTTTGTGTGAGGGTTTATGTACAGTAGAATATAAGTGTGTATTTGTGTGATGTGTTTTCTTTCTTTAGGGACCCAGTCACATTTAGCAGTACTATTTTTATTTTGTATCTCTGTGTATAAAATAACATTTGTAGTGTCACACATAAAATTCCATAAAAGTTGATACATGATCATTTTCAAGGGACTCATTAAACAAATACATTCTGATTTTATTTTTCTTTTGATTTGTAGCATGCAAATGCCATCGCACTTGCATACCTAGCGGGCTTAGCCAAGAAAATTTCTAGCCAAACTGAGGCCGAGCCCCTGGGTACGTGTGAGAGTGCCCCATCTGCACAGATCGAGATCCGAGACCAGGTAAAGATGTATGCAGTGTGGCTGCTTAGTCCTTAAGGTTTGGGGTCACTAGATTTTGACTAGAGGTAGAGATTTTACTAGGGAAAAATCCCTGAACTTTCTTATACCAGAGAAAGAAAGATAACAATACTCTCAACAATACAGAAACAAAGATCTTAATAGCATAATTTCGTAATACTATTTAATGCTATGGTGGGGATAAATTACTTATTTAGAATAAATAGTTTTTTCTGCTTACAGTTTGATTATTGTAGTATTGTAGTAACTGCATGTCACATAGCAAAGCATAGCACATTGTGTTGACTTGTTATATCCTGTGAGTTCGCTTTCTATTTTATTCATTTCTTTATAGAGAGATCATTATATATATTATATATATATCTACAGGTTACACACCTTTTTCATCAATGTTAATGAGTAGCAATGCAAAATGAGCTCCTTCTATTAATACTTTCTGATATTTTGTTTCCTTTTCATGGGTAGCATGCTCAAGATGGACCTTTACTGGAAAAGTCAAGCGAAGCTAAAGACAACTGTGAAATAGTTACGGAGGATGTAGGACCTGACACCCAGGAAAGACCAGGTCAGAGCGAGACAGAAAGAACTGATGATATGGAGGATGTAGGACCTGACACCCAGGAAAGACCAGGTCAGAGCGAGACAGAAACAACTGATGATACGGAGGATGTAGGACCTGACACCCAGGAAAGACCAGGTCAGAGCGAGACAGAAACAACTGATGATACGGAGGATGTAGGACCTGACACCCAGGAAAGACCAGGTCAGAGCGAGACAGAAACAACTGATGATACGGAGGATGTAGAACCTGACACCCAGGAAAGACCAGGTCAGAGCGAGACAGAAACAACTGATGATACGGAGGATGTAGGACCTGACACCCAGGAAAGACCAGGTCAGAGCGAGACAGAAACAACTGATGATATGGAGGATGTAGGACCTGACACCCAGGAAAGACCAGGTCAGAGCGAGACAGAAAGAACTGATGATACGGAGGATGTAGGACCTGACACCCAGGAAAGACCAGGTCAGAGCGAGGCAGAAACAACTGATGAAATAGAAATCCTGAGTGAGTCAGACGAAGGCACCAAAGAAGAGAAGGAGGGAAAAAAGAAGAGAAAAAGGGGATCCTGCCTGAGACGGGTGTTGCGAGCTCTGTGCTGCTGCATCCCCAGAAAACTAAAGAAAGCGGAGGTTAACACACCCGAGATCTCAGATGTAGTCATATATCAGGTCCATGGACTTCACAATTCCACCAGTGAAAGCAGCACAGAGAGCAAAGGCGCCGTTTCCACCCACTCCTCACTTCATTCGGAGCCAAGTGGAGGTCTTCTGCGGAAATGTGTAAACAGCGTGTCTCGATTGAGAATGAGGAAACAAACAAACTCTTCATAAACAATAATTATATATCCAGTCATTCCATCAATGAGTAAAAGAGATTAGGAAAACCTTCGCACTGATAAAAGCAACATCTAACATGCACAGCACATCATAATGCAAAGCACATTGGGAATCCAACCGTAAATTGATAATGAGGTGGCATATGGTCCCCATGAGACTCACACATATCTACACAACAATTTCTGACCTTAACCCAGCACCCTCCTTCACATATTCTGGGACTTCCTTCTTAATAAACCATACTGGACAGCCATATAATCTGTGTTTTACAACAACACTAAGTTCTGTATATCACTACAACCTGAACATTTTCTCCCCAACATGTTCCTCCCCGCAACTGAGGAAATTACATATTTTTACAGCCCCAAGAACCGACATTGCTGGACATTGGAAAAAGAACCTGCAACCACCGATTCACTCAGTAGTGACTTCCCTGAAACATAGACGACAATATGAATAGATGACCCATAAACTCATCACGACTCTATTCAAATTCAAGAAAATTTGGGTGGCATTGGATACTATGTACCAGAATGTCCATTAGAACACATCAAGGCTCCAGTAGACCAACCCCTCATTCTTCCTCCCCTTCATTTGATGCCCCCTCCTCTTCTGCTCTTTCTTCCTTAGACTCTTTCACTTCTCAATTCCTACATCGTGTTGAAACCTACATATCTTCTCTCTTCATGACACAGTCATCCTGAATCACACATACAGAGCTTACATGACATGAAGGACTTGTGAGACCTATATTATGTTTAATGTGGTGTATAATTTACTGTACTGTCGAACTTTTATGTTATACAATTTGTTGTATGTTTGCGATATTGATTGCTATTGTCATGTAATACCAACCAAATGGAAAATAAATTGCAATAAAAATGTATACATTTAAAAAAAAATGGAGTAATTTATTATTTGTTAAAGGTCACTTTAGTTACACATATAAAGTGTTTATGGTAGTAAGGAGATTCTTATCACATTGTGGTGATTTAAGATTTATGATAAAGACTTGAATCCTGTCCTAGATTTGAGATTCCCTTTCCAGATACTGCCAGCCCTCAATAGAAGAGGTTTGTGTGATTTGTCGAATCAGCCCACATCGGTGTCCTGACCCTGCTAGCTATGGCAGTACATTAGAGGTGCTTCATAGCACATCAATGTAGGGTGGCACGTCATTTGAAAAACACTGCTCTATATATCACTTATTTACTGCAGTAAGCTATCTTTACACCAACTCTCTCTCTTAGGCCCAAAACATTATCACAACACGTGACTTTTTTCTCTTTTTATTCCATTGGAGAAAGTTCTTGAATTTGGGGATTTACATTTTATCTAAAAGTTCCAAAGTTCTAGATCACAGATTTTTTTTCCTGGTAATTACATGAGGAGTTTATTTTGGGTCTTTAGTCCTCCCACTGTGAAAGTGCAAAACCTGAAAAACAAAAAGAGATGGGAGTTTTAGTGGATTCCGAGCTTCAATTTTAGGAAATACAATTGTCCACCTCCTCCAAACAGCAGCATGTCCCCCGCTTCTTCCCCCCGGTGGCTAAGGGTCCCCATAACTACATTGCAAAAAATATGGAATAAAAGAAAAACATGAAGCAATGAAATGAATCCATCTTCACTTTACTAGGGCTCGCTGAGGACTGAGTTCTCATGCTTCTCTTGAGACTTTGCTGCCAGAACACTCTGATTGGTTGGCATAGTAGCCAACCAATCAGTGAGCTCTTGCTCATAGTGCACAGTGTGGAATATTTTCCCATGCAATGTGATAGCTGACATCGTGTGGGAAAACCTAAGTCTGCACAGAGAGCTCCATGGGTGAAGATGTATTCATTTTCTTTCTTTCTTTATTATTTCTTCAGGTCTCACCTCACAATCATATTCATAGGAACAGCTATTATAACATCCTGCAGAAACTCCCACAACTCCCAGGCCTCACCTCACACTCATATTCATAGGAACAGCGATTGTGAAGCTCTGCATTTAACATCCTGCAGAAACTCCGACAACTCCCAGGCCTCACCTCACACTCAGTCTCATACGAACAACGATTGTGAAGCTCTGCATTTAACATCCTGCAGAAACTCCCACAACTCCCAGGCCTCACCTCATACTCATGGGAACAGCGATTGTGAAGCTCTTTTCCCTGTTTGTTAGTTGAAACTACTGAACACCGACCACCCCCTGGCTCATTAACTTCAAAGAGAATGGTGAATTAAGTGCTCTCTCTGTGTGGCCGCCGTTCGAATAACAGAATGCCACGTGTTGGAGAATGGTGGCCATCTTGTCACACAAACTGAGGCAGCGGGACATGGTCGTCAAGTGTCTGGAACTAAAATCGAACACTCGACTTCCCGAACACTGGTCAAACTTCGCGAATGCCTGCTTCTGTTCATCGACAAGCCAGGAGAGCGCTGTTCGGGAGCTTTGTTCCCACGAACTAGGGGAACAAAGGCTTCCTATGAGCCAGAGGAACAGTTTGTGGATTTGTTTGGTTATTAGACTTCCCAAATTTTCATGGAACTCTGTCTGGGCAGGAGCCTCATGTGCGGTCAGTCAAATTATAACTTCCATGGAACTCCCAAACCTCTGAACCGATCTGGGTGATTTTTGGATATGTTGGCCCTCAGATCAGGGCTATCAGGGGATATGACTTTTGCAGGGTTCCCATGGGGTTTAAGGCACTCTCGAGGTTTTGTGATAATATGTGTTTTTTTTTTGTTTGAAGATAATTTAGTTGAGTACAATCCTTAACTCAATTATCTCCTAAGTGAAGCAGAAGTATTATTGTATTCTATGTGGTAGTGACCTGGACCTGAGAGCCAATGTAACTACAGTATGTGATTTGTCCCTGTGCCCTCTCCGGTCCAGTGGGGAATGCCCCTGGAATATGTTATTGTAAACCCTGTGTCTGGGAACTTGCATAAAAAGCCAGGTTGGCCTAAAATAAATCACTTCTGTTGTACCTTTCATCTAGTCTAGGCTGATGTTGGGTAACTGTCTACATGCTGTGGAGAATCTGTTTGGATGCTGCATTCATCTGGGAAACGTTCTAATCTACACCTGAACTGCGAGCTATAATCACTCAGGCTTCAGCAGTTCGGGAGGAAATAGGCGAACGGGTATCTGCAATACCAGCGTTCGTAACACTCTGCATTTCATATCCTGCAGAATCGTCCACAACTCCCAGGCCTCACCTCACACTCATACTCATAGGAACAGCGATTGTGAAGCTCTGCATTTTTTCTCACCACTTACTGTAAATAAAATAAAATGATCATGAGCCCTTTAACATTAATTTAGCATTTAAAGAACAAGATAATGCTGTTGGAGTGAATTGATGGCCCTCATGTATGAGACAATTACCTGTAACATTTAAAAGAGAAAAATAAAAAATCTTTTTATGTCTAAGGTTAGGGACTTGCTTTGATCATTTCATCTATTTATCATGCGTTTCATGGGGCAGGTTACTAGATCGTATTCATTCTGCTCTTCAGTAGTAAAACAACCGCAAAAACATCTGTTTTCTGTCTTCCTTTCACACTGGGTAGTTTTCAACTCCAGTTACAAACCTTGAAACATTCTATATCTTATCTCATCTTCTAACATTCTTTAATAAAACGAACGCTACTACCAACATTTGAATATAATAATTCATTATTGTCATACTCTCAAATTATTATTATTTTAATTTAATAAAATATAATTATTTCATACATTTCTATTTTCATGAAATGTTATCCATTAATGCCTACAACCCTACACCATATATTAATTCAGTAGCTTGTGATTGCGGTATGTCTGATATACTAAGGAAAAGACAGTCTAGTAGTGGTGACAGACTCCTGACCCCAGCTTTCCTATTGGTTCCTGGCCTCCTCAGATCTCAGGTCTCAAATTTCAACTCAATAGCTCACGTCTATTGAAATGAAATACATCCTTAGCAACACAAATCAATTAGCAAGCACCTTTCATTAACTGCCCAGGAGTCAGAATGGGCCAGCCTGCTTACAGCACACCTGTGACACCTGTGACCTGAGTCTATGTCCTAACAATGTTTATCCATTTACAGATCATCGTTACTTGGTAAATGTATCTACACATTGTATATTGCATCTGTTGGATGGCATATCCCAGGTGAACGACAATGTAAAGTATTGAACTGTGTTAAATATGTATTTAAAATCCTTGTAATATTTGCATATCTGTGTTTCTGATGGAAAAATATATATTATATATAAATTATAAATCATAAATACAACTTGATTAAAGTTGCTCCACTTGCAAAGAGGTTTTTGCATTTAAAATTTAAGGCCAGAGTAGGTCAACTAGAAGCTTGTCTGAATTAGAGAATTTGTCCACTTTGGCTTATTTGATTCTAAATTTGAAATTCACTCTGAATTCTCACTTCAGTGAGTAACCCTGTTAATTTTATCGTGCTGCATCCCTCATTAGTGTACTAATTGTAAGTGGTTTATGAACGATAGCAGGGAATGTCCCTCACAATTCTATCATGTTCCCACATGTGGGTGGCTATTTTGTTATGGCTTGGACTCCTGCAGTCACAAAGCACCAACATGAATTTTAGCACCCACAGTTGTTTGAAACCTCTTGTTTCGGATTTCAAAAGCTATCTTATTGGGTAGTAACGGCACATCATATTTACTGTGCCCTAGACAACTGCCTAAAATAAATTTCTTAATGCAGTAATTAGTACTGGTTTGTTTGGTGCAATTGAGAAAGAATCTAATATAGGAAGGTGTTCAAAATTAATATAGCTAATTGGATCAACAACAAAAAAACAAAAAATGTGAGGAAGGCTGAACTTGGTGGACCCATGTCTCTTTTCGGCATATGTTACTATGTAACTATGTAACTATATCAGGGCTTAAATGTGTAGTCATGTGATACTAACCTGGCCTTTAAAGTTATTCCCTGCTGCAAGCCATAGTATACTCTCAAGAGGGGAACTTCTATCCACTAAGGCT